TATTCACGAGGTTCCATAGTCAATTTCACTCTTTACACAAATAGTTCCTCAAAAAGTGAGCTAATCAAACAATGACCCTGAACTGCATTTGTCTTCTGATAACCATATTTTATACTGTCCTCTGGGTATTAGATAGCTAGTAGTGTGTAATGTTAGACATATGTTTATATCTGTCAGTTGGGCGACCTATGCTACTCGACGAGGAGTAACAGGTGTAAGTAAGTATATTTGTCAGTATTGTATTCATTTTCTCGATCTCAAAGAAACTTATCGTTTCTCAGCATTTTTATGTAGATGACTGAAATGAAAACCAAAATTCATAATAAAAAGTATAAGTAACCAATTTCAGCAACTAACTAAAATGTAAATATAAAGAATATGAGTAACTATGGTAGCAGAATAACTAATTTATAACCATATATATATATATATATATATATATATATATATATATATATATATATAATCACCAAGTGATATCTAACAGTATTTAGTTATTAATTATTATTTACTCACATTATTTAACATATTTGTCTTGACACCACCTATTTGATGATATTCAGTAGTGATTGTACTACCAGGGTCTTCACTAGTTGCTAAGTAATCATATGAAATACTTATTTTAAGCGGTTGGCATTTTTCGGTTTGGCAATATGATTATTGATCGCAGTTCCTACCTGTGACCTAAAATTATGATATTTTGATCAACTAAGGAGAGACCCTGTATTACAAATTCTTGATAATTACATGCTACGTTTAATAACACTTACGTTTTGGTGGTTATTAACTTGTGCTTGATAGATGGAAACATGATATATATTTATATTATGTATGTGTGAACTATGTGTTTCTCAAATTCAAAGTATTCTACATGACTCAAACATATAATTCATTGACTTAAAATCTGCAAACTAAACTGGTGAGTTGTATCTATGACAGATTCTCTTTCATTTTTCAGCAACATATATCTTGGTTGGTAATAGATTTCATTTGAACAATTTGCTTTTTCAAGTGTTTTTCTTGTTATTTTATTATTGAAAATTTTAATAACGACAAACAACCATGAGCGTAAGTACTATAAACAACCTACCTAGTCATGTTCGTCGTTGTACCATCCTGATACCTCTTTGTTCGATTGGGGTTAAATATTCTCTAAAATTTATTATTTGATAGCAAATTTCTCATTAGCGGGCTTGGAAAATGCTCCAAATGAGCTTTATTAGGGTATTTAGAAAATAATTATCAAATGCTTCCTTCGGATCCAGGATTTCGGGTACCTTTAAAAATCAATTGACTTGTTTCAGGAATCTGATGGAATTACATCTGATTTTCTTGATATCAATATAGTTTTAATTGAATTTGGTGAAGCTAAAAATACGTTCATACTCTTTGAAAAATTCAGTGGCTACATGGATTCAATACCTCAATGGACAACGCGTTGGCCCTTGAAGCGAAATGTATTGGGTTCAAGTCTGTGTGGGCGTCAACACTGGAATTTAGTTACATCCAGCTGACGAGCCAAAGACATGATGAAACTCGCGTATTGCATTCCACTTCTAGTTAGGCACAATTCAGCTCTACCAAAATGTGTATGTGTTTCATAAAAATTTACAACTTTGCCTTTAACCCCAACGTCAAACTTAAGTTCATGTCACATCCAGTATATTTATTATTATGCAAGTTTATAAACCATGGATTGTACTTGACTGTACGAATTAAAAAAACGATAAACAGGGAGTTGTGGAACTAGATTTTTCCATCAAGTTAATAATATTCATGAGTGATAAAAGCAGGATTTTATTTTGACAACTTGAATGCCTGTAGCTGTAGTCACAAGTAACTTATTCAGGGTTGGAATCACTTCACATAAAAGATATCGGTTAGTGAGTCGAGCCCCTGACTTTTAGTCAATAAATCGCAGATCTGAATACACTGAACACTTATTTTGCCTAGTGTAGCTGGATAGTATCGTTGATTCCTAAATTGAAAATGTGACTTAAATATGAGTACTTTACATCATATACTTTAATAGAACATGATGGATTTGTGGATTTATAGTAAGTGAAGTGTTACAGTGATCTATAGCTTCTACAGTCCTAACCACTTCAGAGATAAAGATAAGCTATTGTATTACTACAATAATAGTTTTATCACTTTGTCTACATGCAATTCTATTAGAAATAAAATAAAAGACTATAAATGCAATCGCGCATAACTTTTCCATCATATCATAATAACAGTTGAGTTCGACTTATTTTCATGGTATTATCAAATGAATGTATGAATTCATTAATTAAACAATCATATGCACACACAACAAGGTAACAGACCAGTTAGACAATTATATTACAATTCTCTTAACTATTCCCAAGCCTTCGTTTAGATAATGTTAATTGTGATTTCTCTATTCTTCTACTTCCTACTCCCATCACAAGACAGAAATAAATATTGCAAATAAATGACTAAAATGAAAACCAGAACTCGCAATTAAAAAAAATAAAAGCAATCAGTTTTAGCAACTAAAGAAGATGGAAACATAAAGAAAACGGGTAACTATGGCAACCGACTAACCGACTTATAACCGTGTGTATACATGGATACATATATTAGTTATCGACTTGGTAACAGTTAAAAGTACAGTTAGGAAATCTTATCCTAGTGATTAGCATGTATGGGAAATTTAAGAGGGAGAGAGGGAGTATATAAAGCAGTCACGTGCAAACGACTGATGACCTGAACACATGTATTCGTTTCAATGAAATTTTTGAAATAATATAGTAAAGGTTCACTTTATTTGTAGTAAAAATAGGAAAAAGGAATTGTGAATTGGTTAAGGTGATGGTAATCAAAAATTAGCTTTCAGATTGCGCGGATCAGAATGCACAAGAACTTTTTTCTGTCTTAGATTTTCATTTATGTGGATACAGAAATAAGCACCACTGTAGATTGTTAAAGGACGTGTTCGTAAGTTATCTATATGATCGACCAATTTAGTCAGTATGGTATAGTTTTACTCACTGAGCTTCTTATCAAGTAAGACTGTAAACACAATAATAGATTTTTTCAATTCGGACTGTTAAAGACTAGTGTGATAATAAAACTACGATGTGTGAAGATGTTCTGAAATATTGTCTTCATCTTTTTCTTCTTGAACTTTGCAGGACACATTTGTCATAGTCTATATTATAAACCTGAATTACACCGTATTGTAGTAATACTTCTCACATTATTTGCTATTAGATCTTACTCAATTAAAATGTATATTGACGATATATATTACCATCATTTTTATGTACGTTTGAACTGTATTACTTGAAAGTATTAAAAATTTGGCTTATTTTTTTTCTACTAATTAAAGAATGCTAATTGTATGTACTCTTAATTTTTTTCTGTTAGTAATTTACATGCTGTTACTTCTCTTGTGTTTTAAAAGTTGATAGAAGTTTCGTGTAAGTTCAATTATTTTTTTTTATTCGACGTGAAAATACTTTTTGTTTGTAAATGCTAAATATTGTTGTAAACACTTTTGTAATATTTTTCAGTAAGTTGGATTCTGTGTGATTAATTTGTGAAGTTTAATGTGTCTGATTATCACATTTTATTTTTAAATGCATCGTTGAAGTTAGTGGATCGGATTAAATAAATAATAATATAAAAAGCGTGGAATAACGTCATTAATATAAACTCCTCTTTAATCGTTTTCACGTATCGTACTTAATTGTGTACTGGTAGCAGGTGGTTAACGGTAAATGTTTCAAATGTCTTTATATCATCCCCAATTCACTTAACTCAAGGGGTTTTTTTTGTTTGGGAAAATCCTCATATGATATGATAAACACAGTAGATAAAGGTATCTTAAATCTGTCATATGATTATTACTTAAGGGACTGTGTGAAATACTGTCCTGAATATCTACAGTATTGTTTATTATCATTAGAAATGTTTTACGTATTGTATTGTCACTTTAACTTCACAAACGGGTACAAGGAGTAGAATAGGTTCAGATAGTCTCGTTGGCTAACTGCTCATTTGTCAAAGTACAATAATTTCCCAACTTTGAATTTCAGGATATGGTTGGTGATACATTCACACTGACCACCCTACAAACGTCCAAAAATTATTTTTCAGTTTAAGTTAACAAAAGCTTAATTAAAAATTTTCATGACTTATGCTTAGTAAATACTATATGTGCATTTTTGCTAGTTTGTAAAGCTTCGAATCATCTTCCACCAGGTGGTACACATCCTTTTTCGGAATTGTGTTTTTACACTGATCTAATAAAAAATTTGTCTATTAAAACTTGCCGATTTATCGTGTTCTATTATTTTTCGCTGTTTAATGGTTTTTGATTGATCATTTGCGTGGTGTTCACTTCTTTATATAACACCTTTCTAACCAATTCTTGTTTTTAGTTTGAATTGACAATTTTTCACTTGTTCCAATAATCTCTCTTTCTCTTCATTAATTACCTAAACCTGTAGGATAAATCTTAATCTAGTTGTCGAGCCTGAAATTAGTTAACTTTACAGAAAGCTATTATCACTCAGTGTGTTTGTTTTTTTCTCAAAGCTTGAACTAATCAAAATGAAAACATTGCTTCCAATTTCTATTTTGCTTATGAATATTTGTTTAAAAATTTCGCAAAATCAAATAGTATTGGGTTTTTATTTCGGCATTTTGTTTTTCAAACTCATGAAATTCTTCTAACTGATTTTATGACTAGTCGCTTAGTGAAGTACACAAATTCTTAATTAAGTTTATTATACTATGGTAAAAATAAGAACATTATTTTCATGTGTGGTTAAGAACTTATTCAAACTCAACCCTGTGGGTAATCGATTCTGAGAAACAAAATTCATTAGAGATGAAAGATTTAGCCCAACTATGCTTGTTGAGTTCTATGCAATCGAGTAATATTGAGGTTATGAATGCTAATTCAAAATGCTTGAATAGTGACTTGATTCCTTTCATTTACTATTTTTCTTTTCCTGTACTATCAGGTTATATAATTGATCTAACTCAGTCACATGATCCAGCCTTCATTATTTCTGGTTTGGGTATGGTTTTGGCAGCATTTTCAGTTGTTCCCATTATTATACAGCATTTTCGAAGAAGGCGTGCTCGCCGATTACGTCGTTTACAACAAAATTGTTCTGAAATTGTATTAGAAGCTCAAACGTAACAACGATAATACTACTATTACTACTACTGCAAATAATAATAATAGTGGTTTTTCTATGATTCATCACAATGACCACTAACTTAAAAGATGATGTAATATTATCTTGCTCAGATTTTAATAATAGTTTTTTTTTCAACTAATTCGTTATATTTTGTTTCCTCTCTTTTCTCCTTGGATTGCATCTTAGATGTGTCGAATGTTTATTTCAGACTTGGTCCTGTTTTTTTCTTTGAGATTACTTTTGAAAGCTACTGCTATTATTATTATTATTTGAAATAAACATTGGTTTCACTTATCAATACAGTCCATAATGGCTGATTTGATTTTTATTCGTTAAAATTTATACACATATTTGTTAATTAACTATCTGTTTATTCATTTTTGTTTGAATCCGACAGTTTTATGTGTTGTACACCAATTCAAAAAAGTGCATTAGTCATAAAGATTATTCTTTATTTTATTCGACAAAATAATTATAGCATTTTACTCTGCTTATAGAAGTTCAAATTACAGTTATTTTCTTTTTAAACGAAAATCAAATACACATACACAAAGAACTTTACATTCCACTCAGAAATAGAGTATTGTTTATGAATATCATTACTCAACTGCAAGCTCTTTTCGCTCCATTGTAAGTGTGATTCGTATTGGCATTCTCTCTTCTGAAAACACTTATCGTTTTGTTTCTGTTGTTATTTACATGTTTACTTTCCTTATATTAATCTCAGCCTGTTTGTATACTTTAATTTGTATCTTCTGTCTCTTTATTAAACTTCTATAAACACTAGACATAATGGTGTAACTTATTATTTCATAGAATGTCAATTCAGTGAGGGACAAATGGTGCTTTCATGACTCAAATCTTTCTATTGGTTACGGCTTATTATTAATACAATTGCAAACAATACAGCTGCTTTGATTATTACTATTAGCAATTATAATAATCGTTACAGCTGTTAATATCATTCTTCTTATTGGTATATTAATATTGTTGTCATCCTTACTATTATTATTTTTGTGGAACTTTATTAGTATTTAGATTCACAGATAATGTCACACTATTTTCATACTTTACGCATTCAAACATAGTTATTTTGTATGTGGATGTGAAAAAGAGGAATTTATTATTATAGCCGGTTTTGTTTCCCATATTCTTTCTTAATCTTCTTCTGAGAGAGATATTCTTATTCAATGTACATTTTCAATTGTTTGTTCACCACATACATAAGTTTTTTTTTCATAGGTAGCAAAACATTCGATAAACACTGTAGACAAGTAAATCTTTTCTTTTATATATATATATATATATGCTAACGTTATATGATTTTATCATTACGCATTCAAATAATAAGGAAAAGTTGTATTTAACAGGGAATGTAGATGTTTGTTTGTTTTATGTCAACCAATACGAAAATTATTGTGGATGAAAGAATAGAAATGAACATTCTCTTAGTGTATATCAATTTTTACAGTTGACTGTACTTTGGCAAATACCCAAATATAATTTTGATGAAACCGATTCTTAATAAACTTTACTAAATCAGACGTTGTTCTATCCATAAGTTTCATTACAATGAGTTTAGAATATGTATGTTCACCTGTTTATTTTGTATACTGATCAATCAGTTGAAATCCAAAAATAATTTGTCTCAAACATATACGATAAACATTAGCAGAAAAATAGATTTGTCTATCTACTGGATAACAGTTTGTTTCACAGTTATAAAATAAATAATACTGAATTTACTAGGTAATTAAATTAAATCTAAACAATTTACCTGGCACACAGTGATTAGTTATCGATAATGAAATCTTACATTTGGTATTAATAACGTCACTGTTTTCAATTAAGCCGAATTGCTTCAGTTAAACATCAGACAAGAGTTTGTCTATTGTCAAAGTGAAAGTAGTTGGGATTGCATTACTTTATGTCTATGAATGTTGAGGATATTCGTGAGTTAGCAGTATTTGAACTCATGCCTTCGAATTATTACTCTGATCGAGCAAAATACAACGTGGTTATTCGTGGAGTACTCGAATGAGGGTTATTATTAATTATGTAAACCATCGACTAATTTACTTGAATCATGCATAACACATACCAAGCTACTGTCAGTACCAATGTGTTACTCTGGTTTCTAGAAATAGTAATGATATCAGTTCACAAACTGTGTTAGAAGTAACAAGCATTTCAATTTATGATGCTATCTTATTGTTGTAGACTTCAAATATTGTGGGTCAAAATCGGTTGTTGAAGTAATTCTATCTATTCTGTGTCTTCCCTTCAATTTTAATTTTCTTTACAGTACTTCAAGTAAAAGCGATAGATGAAATGATCTTGAGCAGCCAACTAGTCTGTCAAATAACGGTCATTAGTTATCAAACGATTTATGAAAAAAGGTAATGCGTAGACAGCTTTGACATGATTTATGAACCTTTCTATGTGAATTGATTTATTATAGTTAGCAAAAAATGGTTGGGAATTAGGATTGATGTTTAGCTCCAGCGTTACAGGTTGTGGATAAAAAATAGGGCTAGCGTGCTCTGTAGTAGTAATGTTAAACCCTTTTCCAGATATTTTTGTGCATTAAAACACTGAAAATCTTATAAACCATGGCATATCTACTTCGGTTTTTTATTATCCTGTACTTTTTCCCTGGAAAACATAACGTTCCTAGTGAAACGTTAGTACTCAACCTAATTCTTTTCTGATTTTTATCCTTGTAATTTTTATTCATTTTAAGCATCCTGTTTTCTAAATATGGTAACATTTAGTTCGTTTCATAAGTAGCTCCTAATAAATTAAAAGTTATTATTCAGCTCTCTTTGAATTTCGCACAAAATTCAAAAACCGCTATCTCAAATCTGATGGGTTTTGCGGTATTGTTTTCTTCTGCTATACTCCACACGTTCTTTTATACTTTTAATCCATATATCCCATCTTGAGTGCTTCACTGTGGATGGTACTGGTTTTTCGTTCCTGTATTTCATCTTGTTTGATTTCCTCTCCTTATGCTAATATGAAATATGATAATTTAGACTTATTCCAGATCCCGTACGTTTATTACTGATAGTTTATTTTTTATAATTAGTAAAGCATATGACTTGTTTGAATTAGGAACCATGTTGAGTTTTGAGATGTGTTTATTTCTATACCTACCACTTAGTTTGTGATATTTTCGACCACCTGCGCTGCGGAAACATTATCAATTTCATTCTGATGCGATCTAGTCTCTATTGATTATTCTTTCATAGTTAATCAACAAATGATCATAAAATAACAAAATCATCTATTTAACTAGCTTTTGATCAGTAATAAATTGAGATTTACAATTATATAAACATTTATGCATCGTGAAATACGACATGGGATTACCAAACACCGATATTGGTTAGGTATTTACAAACTTAGTGAATAAGAGAAGAATTTTTCATTCATATAATAAACTAACAGAAATGTGGAAAGATCGAATCGTAAATAAATGGTAGTTGGTATTCTTTCATACATAAATGCTTCTGCCACTGCTTGTTAGGTTTTCTCAAATTTCCGGTACTAAATATTTGGTATATGTTGTCTGACTTTTAAGTACTCATAGTATGGTGATTGGAAGTAATCAGAGAAAAACCTGGACCCAGGTTTCGTATTTGTTGATGCTCATCAAAAGAGTGTAACTGTAATCGTGAGAGAACTGCTTCTTCTTAGGGTATTTGACACATTTCACTCAGTCTCACAATCTGAGATGCTACCACATAGATTATAAAATCACGAACAACTTGTCGATCTGTTTTACTATGCTTCTATTTGCCTATTTGCTTTTATTTACTTACTGGTTTTAGAATTTGCGTTATTTACATCTTACCGTCAATATAGCGGTGGATTAGTGATAAAGGCATTCCGCTATCGAACGTTCGACTATAATTTCTAGAACTGCCTCACACCTGTTTGGATAGAATAGTGGTATCATTAGCCTAGCTTCAAAAAGATAACTATGAAACTAGAATACATTTTATCTAGCTTATTGATCTAATGATTTTTACTCTGATGTGTTGTTTCGTATAAGTGTATTTTCAAAACATGGATGAGCCATTGTAATCTGTTTAGATATGTGTTAGAGGTCATTCGAAATAATGAAGTACGTAACGTTACCAATACACGTTGCTAATCTATTCAACTGTTTTAAGATGAAATAGTATGAGTTCTGTTTTAAGTTAGTCCTGATTTGGTCTTAATGAGCTGAAAAGAAACTCGATAGATATCTTAAATTTGTCAGTTAGACTGTTCCTATATCGTTGGTCGATATCACCGAATGATCATAGTGACGATGATAATACTGTGAGTTTTTATCAACTATTTACATATCCACGTGTGAATTACTGAACAGCTGTTCTGGAATCTTGTTTTTCAAGCCTAGGCCTAAAACGAGGGGTATCATTTATTGTTGATATTCTGTATACTACATAGCATTTGATTTGTCGACTAAAGTACTTCATTAACCGGAACTAATAAGTTATTTTAATGTAAATGTCAATAAAGGAAGTCACTTCTAGTCAATTTGTGTGATATGTTTATTTAAGAGCTAGAATATTAACAAACTTGTTAATTTTTGAATAGTAGTTATGTCAGTATCTCTATCATGTCAACAAATCGAAATCAGTACAAATTAGCTGTCAGTCATATAATGTGGCCCAAGCGATTTTTAATTATTGTTAGTTAAATTACAATATCTCAATTGCTTACGTTTTTTGTCAATAACAAATAATGAACTTTTTATGATTGACATGAGTGAAAAGTCTTCATATGTAATTAGCATCAATTTCTTTGTGAACGAATCAGGTAAAAAGAAATAAGTCAGGGTATAAGATAAAAAGTCTGTATTAGACAGTTCTCAAATTCGTCAGCGGACATATGGATGATAATTTCCCTAGAAAACTGACTATTCGATTCTTGTTAAAACTAACTCCAACTTGCAAGAAGTTTGAAATAGTTCCAAACTATTTGC